TTAATGTAAAACTTATCAAACAAGCGATAACTCTTTCAAACATGCGACAACTCTTTCGATCAAGGCTCTACACGGGCACTAGTTGAGCGATTTTGTACGACTAGAAAACTAACTATGATAAAACTAAAACTATGAACTAAAGGGTGGTGAATAGCGGCTAATTCAGTAAATGAAATAAAGATAGGTTTACAAGTAGAATTAACGTAGATTTGTTATTTCAGTGAGCTTACAACGTCAAGTTTGAAGTTATCTGAGTTGATCTGGTGAGGAAGCCAGTAGTTTCTTTCGTTAACATTTTAATCAATTTTCGAGGCTCATCTGCTCTAGAAGTATTTCAATTTTTCAGTTATATTTTATCCACACTTGAATTTGAATGCATTTTTAGACAGGAGAGTTGGCAGTACCTTTCTTATTGAGTCGAAAGTGCGCCGTCTTCATGACTTCAGCCATTGTGCATATATGGTGGCCTGCTTCAAACAGTCAAAACATTGAAAATTGATGAAAACTATTCATGTTCAGTGAGCTGTAATTTTCCAAAGCTTCTCATTCATTTCTGGAGAGAGTTTTTGAGTTTATTTCCAATATAAAAGGCAGAAAAACAAACGAAAGGATGTAGTATTATTTTTTCATCTTGGTTGCGAATATCTTGAAGTTTGAAGTACGACAGTTTTCTTCTCAATCTCATGTTGAGTTCTTGAGGTCTTCTTTTGATGCCTTTTTTGCTTTGCATTTACATGTTTTGCAAAAGAAAGCCTCACTTTTGTTAACTAGTATTTCAGAAAACTTTAAACTAAACTTTTAACTATTCAAAGTAAACTAAAACTACTCTTTTTGAGCAACTCAAACACTACATGACTTTTGGTACGTACAGGAAGCCCTTCCAATGCAGTTCTCGTTTGACATGCGCTGTCAACTTTACTTTTTGTTGCTTCACCACTTTTTAATCTCAATGCCTTACCATATAATACATATTTTATTAACCTCGTTTGCTCGGTCCGTACCATAAGTAATGGATCCTTGTTTTTTCAACTTTTTTAAGGCCCACGCACTACGCACTTGGGCCATAAGGCAGTGGAAAAAACTCAGTCCACAACTTAAGGTACAGACTTCACACTCAATTAATAAGAGGTACATATATGATACATATTTATCTATCAAAGTAGATATATATAGTCAGATATATATATATATCAAATGAGGGAGATATATAGTCAAATCCAACTACTGGTCTGTCATCAATTAATGCTGTGTTCTGATAGATCACGTGCCAGCGTCTATAACACAGCTTGGGCTGCCTAACAGAACAGATAAGTAACAGTTTAAACAGTTCCTAATGGCTAAAAAACACCAATATTAACGGATTCTAACAGCTAAAAAACCACCAATTTTTGCCCTAGCATCCTTGATTGGATGAGCTACTACTAGGCTATAAGCAGTGGCCTACTAGTAGAAAAGTGTCAGCTTTGAAAACCCAAACATTAAATTTGACTTTAATTTTGAATTTAATAAGACTGAAGCGAGATGAGGTTTTACCCTAGACTCTATGCCATAATAGTTTTTTAAATTCTTTCATATTAAAATTTTTGATTCCTTAGAGGATATAGGAACAATAGTCATAATTAAAGAACAAAAGCAGTGTGAAAAGGATTATGGTCTAGAGACGGGGGTAAAACGTCATCTCGCTTCAGGCTTATCTAAAACTTGTCTGCTTCTATATCTTTGGCCAACTTGACTAAACATCAAGTTCTCTTGCCCTCATGGCCTATGAGTCAATAGCCCATTGGGCCTTCAGCCTCATGGGCTATTGACTGATCATAGCCCATTTGAACTTGAGGATTAATTGCTAAATATAAAATGATTTGCAAAAATTATAAGGTAAATAATTGTTTTAGTATTTTTAAATTTTATTTATCTCTTCAAGCAGCACACATCAACAAATGAGCATGCATATCTGAATGCACCTTATATTCACCTGTAGGTGAATTAACAGCATAAAATGTAAATTGTGACCAATGAGCGTGGTAGATTTACTAGGCTCGCTTGTGTAAAAATACTAAATTAATATATCCATTTATCATATGACCCGTATCTGCCCTGGCGCATGCTCTTAAAAAAACCATCAGGAAAAAGGCGTGAGAAGGGCCATATGAATCCGTACGGCCCTTCTCGAAACCTTCAATCGTATTGACAAATTTGCAACTTTTAAAGTGCCCCTACGATGAAATTCAGTGTCTCGTTTTTAGAATAATTTTTACATTTTCAGAAACTATGAAGACCCAAATTTTGCTGGCCCAAGCCTTTTTTCTTTGAACGACAAGTGCCTCAAATTTAGACATAAAAACGTGACTTTGGCGTCTGCCATTGCTACCGAGTGTTCCTATGAGCCTGCGATATTACGCTGACCTGTGACGTCAGTTACTCAACACTTTGCTCAAGCTTACTTGATTACTTCAGATTTATGACGATGTTTGAGGCGGATTTCAACGAATAGGATGCGGAATTAGATCCCATAGAAAATGAACAAGAAGTAGAAGAATACTCATTGGAAATAGAATGCGAAAATGAAGAAGAGGAGACACTTTTAAGATGTTTTGCCAGCGAAGTCGAGGTTCTTGACTGGTAAGTACGCTTTCGCTAATTGTGTGATGCACATGTATGCATTATCATAGATATCACATTATTTGACTTGAAAACAATCATATTCTTGTAAGTGCAAGTGTAGCAAATGTTCCTTACAACATATTGTGAAACACGAGGAATGTCGGTGTTGTATGGAGTACGATACATGTAGAGAAAAAATGCAAGAAATCAATCAAGAGGAGGAATGCATTACAGACCATGAAGCCTTCAGTAGTGTTTGCCTGGACCAGTGGGTCCTCGAGGTTGCAGGGATTGGTTTTAAGACAAAAGGCAAAAATTCATATACTGCAGCATTAGGAAGAGGAAATCCTGCCAATTCTGAGTAAGTGAAGTGTCAATTTTTCTCTTTTTTCTTCTACAAGTACAGTTGTAAGGTAACTGATGATAATCAAGGTAATAACACATCGTATCAACGATWGTTTTACCAGCTAATAGCCAATTTTTGGTATCATGTAAGCTTACTTTYACACACATGATATTTAAGGTATTAGGATACGTTTACGACCACTATGCGCGCAAACTTAAATAACGTGCTTGCTTTATAGTATAACACAAACAAAGTATACATTTTCTGAAAGCTGAATAAACATAGTTTATAAAGCAATCTTCAAAATACGATTTTTTAAATTGTTGTTCACGTTATTGTTCTCAAAGCGAAATTTGACCATGTCTCAGTAAAAACGTTAACGGACACATACATTTTAAGCTATGTTTGCGAAAAATGTCTTAACATACTCAGGAGATAATAAGCTCAAAAAGGGTGTCCCAGATTTTTGATATCTGTTTTATATCTCTCSCTATTTTTGATCAAAGTTCGACGATTGCTTTTGGAGTGTTGTTTATAGTAAAAAGGGTCATAACTTTGGAAAGAAATTAAATTTCAAAAATCGGAGACACCCTTTTTTGGGTTATGAGTTTCTTTTTAAACTCTCCAAATTTTAGAAAAATCGAATGAAATCCAAGGGCCTTTTAGCTTTTCGAAGTTGAARTTTTAGCGGCAAATAAAGTTTGAGAAAATTGCGTTTCTTTGTTTGGAGCCGGAAGCTGCAGGGAGCCACGATGGTGTTGGTCAAAACACCTTCAGCCTTCCATTTTGTCATCACTTGTCATATTATCTGTTGTTTTGGACGATCGCAATGTAGGATCTTTTTACAAGGACAAAGGAGCATTTGGACTCAACGTTATTGCAAGCGATGGGACATTTCCGGTCTTGATAAAATCACGATTTCGATTTGTCTCAAAATTTTGGTTTTTCCAATCAAATATTGCAAGAAGTTTCACTAACATATGAAAGACAAAAGTTTAAAGTTATGAAATTTCAGAAAAATTTTTTTTTTCGAGCAAATCGTCATTTTTCGTATCCTAATACCTTAAGGTATTAATTTTAATTGACCTTAATTGTTTTTTTCTACCTTCTACAGGTATTTAAGTTCTGTTGCATACAGACAATTTGTAAGGCTTGTATGGGAATATGTTGGGGCAGCCAACGCCTTCCTCTTCCATGCTGTGTATACAACAAAATACGAGAAGCATTCCCAAATGCTGATGACATGCA